ATCAGCATATGGTTTGTGTGTCATCGGCATACGATCTGTGTCTCTCATTATCAACATACGATCCGTGTCTCTCATTATCAGCATACGATCCGTGTCTCTCATTATCAGCATACGATCCGTGTCTCTCATTATCAGCATACGATCCGTGTCTCTCATTATCAGCATATAATCCGTGTCTCTCATTATCGGCATACAATCCTTGTCTCTCATTATCAGCATACAATCCATGTCTCTCATTATCAGTATGTAATCCGTGATTCTCATTATCGCATAATGATCCGTGTCTCTCATTATCAGCATACGATCCGCGGTTCTCATTATCAGCATACGATCCGCGGTCTCTCATTATCAGCATATAATCAGTGTCTCTCATTATCGCATACAATCCTTGTCTTTCATTATCAGCATACAATCCATGTCTCTCATTATCAGTATGTAATCCGCGGTCTCTCATTATCGCATAATGCATCCATGTCTCTCATTATCAGCATACAATCCGTGGTTCTCATTATCGGCATACGATCCTTGTCTCTCATTATCAGCATACGATCCGTGTCTCTCATTATCAGCATACGATCCGTGTCTCTCATTATCAGCATATAATCCGTGTCTCTCATTATCGGCATACGATCCATGTCTCTCATTATCAGCATACAATCCATGTCTCTCATTATCAGTATATAATCCGTGTCTCTCATTATCGGCATACGATCCGTGTCTCTCATTATCAACATACGATCCGTGTCTCTCATTATCAGCATACGATCCGTGTCTCTCATTATCAGCATACGATCCGTGTCTCTCATTATCAGCATACGATCCGTGTCTCTCATTATCAGCATATAATCCGTGTCTCATTATCGGCATACAATCCTTGTCTCTCATTATCAGCATACAATCCATGTCTCTCATTATCAGTATGTAATCCGTGATCTCTCATTATCGCATACGATCCGTGTCTCTCATTATCAGCATACGATCCGTGTCTCATTATCGCATACGATCCGTGTCTCATTATCAGCATATAATCAGTGTCTCTCATTATCGCATACAATCCTTGTCTCTCATTATCAGCATACAATCCATGTCTCATTATCAGTATGTAATCCGCGGTCTCTCATTATCGCATACGATCCATGTCTCTCATTATCAGCATACAATCCGCGGTCTCTCATTATCGCATACGCATCCTTGTCTCTCATTATCAGCATACGATCCGTGTCTCTCATTATCAGCATAATGATCCGCGGTCTCTCATTATCAGCATATAATCCGTGTCTCTCATTATCGGCATACGATCCATGTCTCTCATTATCAGCATACAATCCATGTCTCTCATTATCAGTATATAATCCGTGTCTCTCATTATCGGCATACGATCCGTGTCTCTCATTATCAGCATATAATCTGTGTCTCTCATTATAAGCATACGATCCGTGTCTCTCATTATCAGCATATGGTTTGTGTGTCATCGGCATACGATCCGTGTCTCTCATTATCAGCATATAATTCGTGTCTCTCATTATCGGCATATGATCTGTGTCTCTCATTATCAGCATACAATCCGTGTCTCTCATTATCAGCATATAATCCGTGTCTCTCATTATCAGCATATAATCCCTGTCTCTCATTATCAACATACGATCCGTGTCTCTCATTATCAGCATACAATCCGTGTCTCTCATTATTAGCGTACAATCTGTCTCTCATTATCAGCATACAATCTGTCGTTATCAGCATATGATCCAAGTCTCATTATAGGCCAGAGGATAAGCAGACACTTCGATATTAGTGCTGAAGTTCCAAATAACTTCCAGCGCATCTGATAACACATATTCATTATAATCCGCCGTGATATTACTGGAATATTCAGGTTAAAGCGGCGTAAAACTAAACTCACTCACACTATTCATGATATAGTTTTTTATCTAAAGTTATTCCATTTTCAGATGTCAATTCTATTACATTAATGTACTTGTATGATCAGGTGCTGATCATCCTCCACCTTTCTGTCATATGTAAAGCTATGGTTCTCTAGTGTAACGAGACCTCGTTTGTCTTGTACACAACGGTCTGATTGTTCCGAGGGATACCAACGTTAATTCACAAATGAAATGAAAATTCATGAAACGCTTACAAGTATTACATCCAACCTGTTTCCAGTTCATCCTCCTTGTCACGCTAACTGATCAAGTGAAAATATGGTTACAGCTGGTGTGTGGTGCTGACTCTATCAAATATGGAGGATGGGGGTCTTGTTACAGGGAGGTTAGGGAGCTTGTCAAAGTGATCATGAAGCTAAAAAGGAAAGGAAATTATGTGGAGTTTGGTTTAAGATTTGGTTCTATGTTTACATTTCTTCAACAGGTCGTATTCATAATTGAATGGATTTCTAATACATGTGATGACAATCTCTTTGAGTCAAGAAAAAAACAAAATGAATTTTTCCAGCTTTGTGGAACTTTTGACAAGACCATATGAATTATGCATTTTGTTGGAATAATTCCATCAGTTGAATAATTTATCATTTTTTTAAAACCGTATTAAGTGAAAATTAATACTTCCATTCAATGGGATACCTGTGTAGTAGTCATGGTAACTACACCTATTCAGAGATCTTTGCACCAGAATGGTCAGGAGGTTACCATCTGTGACTCTTTGGTGCACAAACACACAAACACAAAAGTGTCATCAAGCTATTTTTTTGTCTTAGCACTTTCATGTTGTTATGGAACATGGAGATCGCAGCAGCCTGTGACTCTATCCAAAGCACATGTCTATGAAAATGGTCGGTCCAGTAAGCTCAGCTAATTGTGTCACATATAACAGGTGCGATGAATTAGCTTAGTGGTTGAAGTATTCGTTCATCACGCTGAAGACCCGGGTTTGATTCCCCTCATTGGTACAATGTCTGAATTCTGGTGGTCCCCTGCTGGAATATTGCTGAAAGTGGCGTAAAACAATTTTCACAATTCACTCACATATAATCTGATGATATTTGTGATAGGACTTAGGCTTAGGCTGGCTGGTTCTTGTTAACGCTGTATTCCAGCTATATGGTGGCGGTGTGTAAATAATCGAGTCTAGACCAGCCTATCCAGTGATCAACAGCATGAGCATTGATTTATTTTTCACAAGGTTGGATTTGTCTGTTACATTTCATAAGAACTACAAGCTCATTCCAAGTCAGGATTTAATTTGTCGTAAAGACTCCAGGAAATTTATGTTCCTAACATACTAGTAATCCTTTAAAGATGTAAAATTTGCAAATGCATTTGGTGCAATTTGCAAAACACTCGAAAGAACCACATTTTTTTCTTTATTTTTAGTGCATTAACAAAATGCAGATCTTTATGGGTTACTTTAAGGCTTAGGCGTAACTGTTATAGGCCTTAGCCTAACTGAAATGTTTTTGGCATGGACTGTTTGAAGGCAGAATAGCAACTCAGTACCCCAGAACAATTGCGTTTTCATTCTTGATTTTTCTTTCTCAGCTTTCGTCCATCATATACCACATAAATACCTTTCCTCTCCAAAACACTACACACATGAATCTTACAGTTCACAAGCCTCCACCCACCAGTGATAAGCCCAATTTGTCATACAGCTTACAATCTTGTTTTAAATATGGCTGCCACATCAGCCATATAGTAAAATCTTTACTGGCCAAAATGTATCTAATAATTTAGGCTGAATACAGCTTTGACTTTCAGCTGTTTGTTTAGTTTTGACCAGGTTCATAAATACTGAGGATTTTTGGCTCTGTGGAGCATCAGAATTTGGCGTGTATGGTTTTACTAATCTTACTTCATATTTTGTTCAGTTCATGAGGATTTGTCAGTTTATCTGTGTTTGTTGACTTTTTATCCCCCCAGCATGTAATGCGGGGAGGTATAGTCGACGCCTCGTCCGTCTGTCCGTCCGTCCGTAACTGGAAAACTGGAAAACTTCTTGATATCTTTCAGCAAAAACCTGGCAGATATTTGAGGCAGATGCCAAAGTGGTGCCTTTTGCTATTTGGCAGAATTTTGGCATATTTAGTTTTCCCGGTTTCATTGAAACGATTAGGACTTAGTTCCAAAAGGGAGGGGTGAGCTTCATTTCCGGAGCACAACTGGAAAACTTCTTGATATGTTTCAGCAAAACTTGCCAGATATGTGAGGCAGATCTTGAAGTGGTGCCTATTGCTATTTGCAGATTTTTGTGATTTATTATTTTCTCAGTTTCCATGGAAACGATTCGGACTTAGTTTTAAAAAAAGTCATTAAAAAAAGTCAAGCTGGACTTTAAGTAACAGATGATTTGTTTTTTCAAATATGTGGGGGCCGGGGGAATATGTCATCTTCTGATGACTCTTGTAATACTCGTTGGCTCGTCACGTCGAAGACCCGGGTTCGATTCCTCACATGGGCACAATGTGTTAAGCCCATTTCTGGTGTCCCCCGCCGTGATATTGCTGGAATATTGCTAAAAGCGGCGTAAAACTAAACTCAGTCAGTCAGTCAGTCTTGTAATACTATGACTACATATATAACCAGGTGAGTCCAGACCTATTAAATTTCTTGCTTTATGGATTTTTATCCCCGCAGCACGTTTTGTGGGGGGTATTAAAATGGACTCCGTCCGTGCGTGCATGTGTGCGTCCGTCCGTCCGTCCGTCCGTCCGTCCGTCCGTAAGGCTCAACAGTATATGTATAGATTCCAGATGAGATTAATCAGTTTAAGAGGACTGAATTTTACTAGACTCTAGAGTAGTTGCCGGTAAGCACTATATTATTTCTGTAGTGTAGGCGTTATCCATGTTTGATGGTGTATCACTCCTAAAATGTGTGGAAGTGTATCATGCATGTCTTATTTCCTCACCTTTTTTCCAAACTCTAGAAGGGTCAGTGTACAAGCTACTTCTGTAGCTACTTCCAAATACTTCAGTCACCATTTTTGTTCAATTTCCGATTACCCAATGCTGCCCCTTCTACAGTTTACCTGTTATGTTGTTTCAGCACTGGGAGGTGTTCAGGAAAGTGTCGGAAGTATTCATCCTCGTCCCCCTCCCTACTGGGTCTGAAGGGTAACCTGGAGATGACTCTGGCATCAAGGCTCTCCACGCAGGTAACCATAGCAACAGGAGCAGCAGCAGCAAGGAGTTGATAAATGGAGGAAATGACTTGCTGTTCAATGATGCTCATTGTTCGAAATTACGAAAGCAAATCAAATTACCAAAATGTTTGGCATGTAATGATAAAATTCATAATATCCAGTCACAATCTCTCCACTGACAGTGCTAGATGGAAACAAATATCAGTAACTGAAAGAAAATGTTCACTTTGTAAATCAATTGATTTGGAATATGAATTTTATTACTTGTTTACATGTCCCATTTTGGAAAATGAGACAAAACAGGTAATTCACAAATATTTTTACACTAAACCAACGTTGTTTTAGATGAATTTACTTTTTATGTTTAAAAGCTAGAAGCTCTGTGGAAATAATTCAAAATATGTAAAACCATTATGCTGCTATCTAACACAAACATCATGTTTGACTTGGTCATTTGTCAAAGGAAGGGAAGTCAGAGAGATAATACAATTGAATTGGGGATGTGAAAAAACATAATGCAGTTCTATTTATTTAAATAAAATAATAGCAATAAATCTGAACCACTTACCTATTATAAGGGTGGTCATGAAACAGATTACATGTATAAAATATTTTGATTTTGATTTTTCAAGGCGGACTCATGGGCAGGGGATGCATGTATGTTACATAAATGGGGTGAGTGTATGATGAGATGAGTCCCAACACTGTAATAACTGTGACATTTCTGTTCCTCAGGCCAACCTTGGCAACATGGAGAAGCGTTCCGAGAAGTTAAAAATGATTGGAGGGAATATGGCGCTTGTACAGGTAACACGTTCCACCATTCAAAGACTATCTTTTTGGTAACAACGCCTTTAATAGCACTTTTTATTATGCTAACGCAGATCAGGATTATCAGGAATAAGAGGTGATGATTGAGGATTATGGGTCCAGTTGGTAGCCTAGTGGTTAAAGCAGTGCACTTCACTCCAAAGACCGGGTTTGATTCCTCACATGGTTACAGTGTGTGAAACCCATTTCTGGTGTCAGTCATCATGACATTGCTGGAAAATTGCTGAAAGCGGGGTAAGTCCTCACTAACTCTTAACTAAGGACCAGAAAGTACAGATGATCAACTGCTTCACCAGTCTATGGAGTTCTATGACTCCATAGCCGTAGTAAAGTATTAGTCATTCGCTCAAGTAAGTTTTGCTTATTAAAAATCCATATATGAACCCGAAGACCTTCACGTCCTGGTACAAATATTGATATGGTTTTTGTCACATCTTTAGGCTCAGGCGATAGTTGTGGGTTTCCTGGCATCCATGGCTGCCATGGTGATGGGCTGGATCCCGGATGGGAAGTTTGATATACAACACGGCCTACTCCTGTGTGCCAGCAGTATATTCACAGCGTCAGTAGCCAGTTTGATATTAGGTGAGTGAGTTCAAGCTGGTGTATTGAGATCTCTTGTAATGTTTGCAGGTGCATTGACCTTACCATTATGTATTGAGACCTCTTGTATTGTTTAGGGGCGGTGGGGTAGCCTAGTGGTTAAAGTGTTCGCTCATCATGCCGACGGCCCGAGTTCCATTCCCCACATGGGTGCAATTTGTAAAGCCCATTTCTGGTGTCCCCTGCCGTGATATTGCTGGAATATTGCTAAAAACAGTGTAAAACCATACTCAGTCAGTCAGTCACCTGACCATTATGTATTGAGACATCTTGTTTTGTTTACAGGTGCAGTAATGGTGGTTGTAGTGTTGGTGTCCAGCAAATTGCGCATCAACCCCGACAATGTGGCGACCCCCATAGCAGCAAGTCTGGGGGACCTGACTACTCTGTCCCTCCTGGCTGGAGTCAGTACTCTGCTGTATGAAGCAATAGGTACGGCAACTTGTCCAAACAGAAACAGAATAACTATAGTAAAAGGGAAGCATTAGGTGTTTTTTTATATTTTTCTTCTGTTGAATGGGGGCGGTGGGGTAGCCTAGTGATCAAAGCGTCCGCTTGTCACACCCAAGGCCCTGGTTCGATTCCCCACATTGGTACAATGTGTGATGCCCATTTCTTATGTCCCCCACCGTATTATTGCTGGAACATTGCTGAAAGCGGCATAAAACCATACTCTCTCACTCACTCTTCTGTTGAAAAGCATATACATGCACCAATATGTTGTTTCCTCTCCTTCAATAACTGGAGTCTTTCTTCTGATTAAGCATTGACGGTGGCTATTTTCTTTCAACCATTTTCTGAATTTGTCGGACCATGCTGAAGAGAGATTCCTCTCTAACATTTCTCTAATTTTATTAAAAATACATATTTGTAAAAATTTGTCATGTTCACAATACTGCTCAAATAAGCAATTATACTTTCACATCTATTGCTGTTTGTATTTGCCAATGGCACCACGGTAATTGGTGGTGTTTTGTTTTCAGGAAAACAGCACTGGCTGGCTCCAACTATCATAGTGTTCTTCATGTTGCTAATACCTGTGTGGGTTGTGATATGTGTTAAAAATAGGTATGTGAATGACGTGATCTACTCGGGGTGGATTCCAGTGATCAGCGCCATGGCAATCAGCAGGTGAGTCTCATGTTGTGGATAGTACATTATACTGGGAAGATCAGGTTAGAATTGATCTTCAGTAACATATGCTTGTCGTAAGATGCGACTAACGGGATCGGGTGGTCAGGCTCGCTGACTTGGTTGACACATGACATTGTATCTCAGTTACATAGATCGATGATCATGATGTTGATCACTGGATTGTCTGGTCCAGGCTCGACTATTTACAGACTGCCACCCTATAGCTGGAATATTGCTGAGCGCTGTTAAACAATAAACCTAACCAAATGTGGTCAAGCCTTGGTAATACACCAATACAGCTGTTGTGATACTCCTGGACTCCAACAGTTAACATTTGTCTATAGCAACAGTAAACATGACAGTTAAAAAATTATCGAAAATATTTCCCTAACCGAAATTTTGTGAAAGGAAAATATTTTTTGTAGTCTTTTATAACAAGTGCTTGTAAAGTGTATTTATAAAATCCCTTTCTAGAAGACTGAAGCTGGCCAAGTTATATAATGGTTTTTGTATACATGTTCCTGTAAATAGCAGTTCTTGTACCATTTCTCGATATCTCTTTCAGCATTGGAGGATTGATTTTAGATTATACAGTGTCAACACATGATGGAATAGCGGTCTTCCAGCCCGTCATCAATGGTGAGGACTGGCCATATTAGTGTATTATAAGCTTTACAAAATCATAGCAACCAACAAGTAAGGGACTGTTTATAATTTATGGCAAGGTGGGTGATGATGATTTTAAGGGGGGATTTCCTATTTTGTTCTGGGGAGGTAGGGGGGTCATCAATTTTGTACACATGTACTTGAGGGGATGTCATTGATGTTGTACATGACATGCAGGGTGGGGGTGGGTGGGGGTTACTTACTTTGTACATATATTTTGGTGAAGGTCATTCACATTGTACATTTTTCTCCATTAAAATCATTATCAACACCCCAGCCATAAATTATGTATGGTTCTTAAGAACCTTCATCCAAAGTCACAAGTGTCCTTGGTATCTAAAGCACAGCGGTGTTATGTCCCTTTGGCATATCAAAAACTTACGACCATTTGTTTAATCCTAGATTTATTATTTTCATGGCTTGATAGCACCCTACTGAGCTCTATCTATCATCTAGTACCATGACAAGTCAGTTCTCTCCCTTGCCCAGTAACAGGTACCTACACATACACCATTAATTTCCAGGGTGGAACTGGTCTTCAGCAACCCATACTTTTTCTAAGAGGCATGACTTTGTTGATGTATGTCACTGTATCCCAGCTGAGCTGAACAATGCTCATGATGTCAATCACTGGATTGTCTGGTCCAGACATGAATATTTACAGACTGCTGTCATACAGCTGGAATATTGCTGAATGCGGCGTTAAACTACAAACAAACACATGGTGAAGATTTCAGCCAGTGTTGGAAGTGATTATTACTAACCATCTACTGGTCTCTATGTACTTCTGTTAGTAAATATGACAGACCCATGCTGTAACTATGGTAGCTGTGCTCTGCTAGTGTTTTCTCATGTTCTCAATACTATTGAAGCAGGTTGTAGAGTCATCCCACAGTTGGCATCCTTACCTTGTCAGCTTCATGACAGGCGTTAATCTCTTTGGTCATGTGGACAAGGCATGTGCCTTAAGGTCAGGTCAATGGTTCATATCTAAACCATCACAGGATTCAGAAAATTGTGTGGTTTCTACATTTATATATACAAACCCATGAAGATACGGGTTAGAATTGGTCTTCAGCAGCCCATGCTTGTAGTAAGAGGTGACTAACAGGATCGGGTAGTCAGGCTCGTTGACACATGTCATTGTATCCCAATTGCGCAGATCGCTGCTCATGATGTCAATCATTGGATTGTCTGGTCCAGACTGGATTATTTACAGACCGCCGCCATATAGCTGGAATATTGCTGAGTGCGTCGTTAAACAACAAGCAAAACAAAACAAAATATCATGTACACTTAATACCATGTGTTGTTGAAAGTCTGGTGTTAACACATAATACCATGTCATGTTGCAGGTGTGGGCGGTAACCTCGTCGCAGTACAAGCCAGTCGTATATCTACATCCCTACATAAAAAACTGTGTGATGGGAGAGTTGCCAGACAGTGCGCCTCGTGGCTGCCCCAACCCTATTTCAACTTTCTTTGGCAGTAGTAAGTTCACCATCCCTAGCCACAGAAGCTGACATGATATACTACTTACCCATAAACAAGTCATCATTTTCGTTGTTATTTTGCAGAAATATTCGTGATTTTGATTTGTTACTGATAACTGATAATATGGATATTTTTAACTTTGTACTCGTTTCTGATGTTAAGAAGTATGCATTTGCTTTGTAGTTATTTTTTTAATTATTCTTCAAAATGTAAGAATATGTTTCATTATAATTTGATATGTTACATCTCTGAAAAATGGAATGGTGAGCTTAGACAAATTTGTTGTACAAGGGAGATAACTCTATGGATATACTGCTTCTTCATTAGTATTTATGTGTTCGGTGATAGTATCTACACCAAAATATTTTATGTAGTGATCACTTGGTATCAGTGTCAATATCTACACCAAAACTTTATGTTCATTGTAAAGAAGCTGTATACCCCTAGAATTATCTCCCTGTTCTTCATGCCAACTTGAAATTGTCATTTAACGAGGTTAAATTCTGTGTCCACAGGTACCAACTCCAAGGCAGCCAGAGTGTTGTTGATGCTGGTAGTGCCTGGCCATCTCATCTTCCTCTATGCCATCTCCTACATGCAGGCAGGTCACACGTCTATCACCCTCATCTTCGGGGTCAACTACTTGACAGCTGCAGTCCTTCAGGTAAGACTCTGGGCAAAACTGGTCCCTTATGCCCATTGCTCGTGCCCCATTATAATAGTGGGCATGAATTGTTCCCCTGTACCCATTGCTGGTGCCCCATTGTAATAGTGGGCTTAAACAGGTCCCTTGTGCCCATTGCTGGTGCCCCATTGTAATAGTGGGCATGAATTGTTCCCCTGTGCCCATTGCTGGTACCCCATTGTAATAGTGGGCTTGAACAGGTCCCTTGTGCCCATTGCTGGTGCCCCATTGTAATAGTGGATATGAATTGTTCCCTTGTGCCCTTGTCTGGTGCCCCATTGTAATAGTGGGCTTGAACAGGTCCCCTGTGCCCATTGCTGGTGCCCCATTGTAATAGTGGGCATGAATTGTTCCCCTGTACCCATTGCTGGTGCCCCATTGTAATAGTGGGCATGAACAGGTCCCCTGTGCCCATTGCTGGTGCCCCATTGTAATAGTGGGCATGAATTGTTCCCCTGTGCCATTGCTGGTGCTCCATTGTAATAGTTAACCCATTGTTGGTGGGCCCAATTGTAATAGTGGGCATGAATTGTTCCCCTGTGCCCTTGTCTGGTGCCCCATTGTAATAGTGGGCTTGAACAGGTCCCTTGTGCCCATTGCTGGTGCCCCATTGTAATAGTGGGCATGAATTGTTCCCCTGTACCCATTGCTGGTGCCCCATTGTAATAGTGGGCATGAACAGGTCCCTTGTGCCCATTGCTGGTGCCCCATTGTAATAGTGGGCATGAATTGTTCCCCTGTGCCCATTGCTGGTGCCCCATTGTAATAGTGGGCTTGAACAGGTCCCTTGTGCCCATTGCTGGTGCCCCATTGTAATAGTGGGCATGAATTGTTCCCCTGTACCCATTGCTGGTACCCCATTGTAATAGTGGGCTTGAACAGGTTCCTTGTGCCCATTGCTGGTGCCCCATTGTAATAGTGGGCATGAATTGTTCCCCTGTACCCATTGCTGGTGCCCCATTGTAATAGTTGGCTAGAGCAGGTCCCCAGTGCCATGGGGCTGTGGGGTAGCCTAGAGGTAAAAGCCTTCGCTCGTCACGCTGAAGACCTGGGTTCGATACCCCACATGGGTACAATGTGTGAAGCCCATTTCAGGTGTCCCCTGCCGTGATATTGCTGGAATATTGTTAAAAGCGGTGTAAACTCACTCACACCCTAGTTCCCTCTGCTGCTGGTCCCATGTGATGGGTTGTAGTCAAAAGGGCTGAAAAAAAAGCTCAAAGGGCCGAGGCTAAAAGTCAAATGGGCCGAAATGAAAAGTCAAAAGGGCCGAAAAAAGGGCTGAAAAATAAAAATGTAATAAATTACATAGTAAAATAGTGTAAATTGTGTTTAGTTGTTGTTATTGTTATTTAAATGGAATTTGAACATGAAACTCAAATGTTTTGTTGTTGTAAGTTTTTAATCCAAATCTAATTAAAACATGGGATGTTTGTTTTTGTTGTTGTAAGTTTTTGATCCAAATCTAATTAAAACATGGGAGTCTTAACGTTTTTATTGTAAAGTATCTCGACTCAGTGTCTTAACTAATGAACTCTCTTCAATTGACATGGACATCTCATCCAGTTCACTTGCTTATGAACCAAACTACAAAGCAATAAACAAAATCAATATTCCAGTTAAAGTTGTAACACCTAACTGGACTCAACAAATAGAAGGGGTTATACAACTAGACCCTACAATAACACAACTAGATTCTCTGGTCCAAACAGCTAATGACAACCAAACACAAACTAAAATTATTTCTGTCAACAGCACTGTTCTCAGTGTTCTGCCAACAAATATACCATTTGCGAAGTGTCTCCAATATGACCATACTCAAAAGACTTGTACAGAAAACCAACATTACACTAAATGCGGCAGAAATAACCATACATTTGATAAATGTAAAGCTGGTCTTTACTGCATCCATTGCCGGATATCAGGCCAACGAATGAATTTGTGTAAATCATGAACGAATGAACTTGTGTAAATTATGAACGAATGAACTTGTGTAAATTACCAGTATATTATTTTTGTTAATTATGTGAACTTGTGTTAATTAAGTAAATTATGAACTATATGTATTGCCGTTACATGTAAACTTGGCTACATGCTTGGCTATTACCATGCCATTACCATTTTATTAATGTTATGATGATATTATGTTTCAATGCTATATGTGTCAATAAATAATGTAAAACCTTTCTAAACTTTTTTTTCTGTTAGGAATAAGGCCCATATGACTAGGAATAAGGCCCTTTTGACTTTTTTTCTCGCCCATTTGACTAGTTCCCCATGTGATCCCTAGTGTAATACTTGGTAAGACTGGTTCCTAGAGCCTAAGTTCCCAGTTCGTGCTTGGTTCCCTCATTCATTGACTTTTTCTATTTTACACCGGCCCTTTTGACTTGGCACCTACTCTCGGACTTGGTCCCAATTTGTCCTTGAACTGAGTAAATTGATCAAACTAGGTGCCCATTTGACATAAAATCAATAGTTCCCATTGGGAACCGATGACATATGTCAACCAAGTCAGGGAGCATGACCGCCTGATCCCGTGAGTCGCATCTTACGACAAGCATGGGTTACTGAAGGCCAATACTAACCCTGATCTTCACGGGTCGTTAGTCACCAGATCTTCAGACCCACAGATTATGAATCTTACTGTTTGTGCTTCCATGTTGCAGGTGATATTGCTGCTGTATATTGCCAACTGGATGGTCCACTTCATCTGGAGAACGGGGGAAGACCCAGACAATATTGCCATCCCATACCTCACAGCTCTAGGGGACCTCCTTGGAACTGGTCTCCTTGCCATAGCTTTCCATATTCTTTTTCTCGTTGGAGATGGGGATGCTGATGTTGGAGAATAGAGTGACCTCCCTTGACTGGTTTCTCTCATTCTGTGACAGGAAGATTATGTTGATGAAAATGTAACACAGTGCTCAAGGACTACACAGCGTGCGCCTCACTACATCCATAAATCCCTGTCCACGTCTTCAGTCGTAACAGTAGGAGCATGAAAGAGTTGCTTCCCTTGATATGAATTTGAAGCCTGTGAGGTTGCCCGTCACTATTTGCATATCTATGTCCTTGACCTTGAACTGTTTTTGGAGAGTGAAAGAGAACGTGTAAACTATGTCATTGTGTATGTCAGTAAGTTATTACACCTTATTTGTCATCCTATGGGATTTATGATTGACATTAATTTAACATAATGCTGTATATGGAAGATGTCATTGTAATCTGGGCAACAGGACTGATATATTGAGGAATATTTACCCAAGGAAACTAAATGTAGCTATCCATTTCTATAGTAATGGAGTAACCTCGTGGAATCTTGGCACAGCAGTTTGCTGTACAGACTTATGTCCCTTAGCCAGCCAGGATCCGCCTATTTGTTCTCTGATATGCTGTTTTATTATTGAAATATTGTTCAACATGGCATTGACTCCCTCACTTTTAAATTTGAAATTGTTTTATTATTTTTCAGAAATATTGAGAGACAACTCAATGAAATCAAAGTTATCAATGATGACAAATGTCTAAAAAGCGACTAAAACACTTCGTCTGTTAATGTAAGTGATGCAATAAGGTACTGAATCATTGAAAAGAGTATGGTGTTGGGGAACCCTAGTTGTAAAGTGTTCATCAATCACGCCAAAAACCTGTCTTTGATGATTTCCAACATGGGCAGTGTATGTGAAGCCCATTTTTTGTGTTCCCCGTTGTAATATTGCTGGAAAATTGCTATAAGTGATGTGAAAACAAACTCACTCATTGAATAGGGTTTAGTCCTTGTTCTTTTCAGCAAAAGGTTCAGTGAGTTCAAAACACGTAAGCCATAATTGTACAAAGGCAGTTATTTATCTTGTATATATCTATAGCCAAAAACAGGAGGTGCTCACGCTATATAATTCAGACAAAGCGTCAATATGTGTTATTTTAATGTTAATCTTGTTCATGTTTCCAGTCAGTTTTAGATACAATTGAAGGTTGTTAGTTACAGGGTTAAATACACAGGGAGAATCAGTACCTGGCTAATGGGTTACAGGGTTAAATACACAGGGAGAATCAGTACCTGGCTAATGGGTTACAGGGTTAAATACACAGGGAGAATCAGTACCTGGCTAATGGGTTACAGGGTTAAATACACAGGGAGAATCAGTACCTGGCTAATGGGTTACAGGGTTAAATACACAGGGAGAATCAGTACCTGGCTAATGGGTTACAGGGTTAAATACACAGGGAGAATTAGTACCTGGCTAATGGTAGTGTTTATGCATGTTATTTTAATGCTTTGAGGTTTTTTTTATAACAGTTAAGCAGCTGAGATTCCTTTCAATAAGCTTTTAGTCAGAGTAACTGTTATTTCCCTAATAATGCTAACTACCATCTAATTTTCTCTGAATGACCAATTCTTGATATTAAAAGTCATTCCTTAATACATCAATAGCTATGATTATGTTGTTTCCCGGAAAGATAATTTGAAAATCAAATAATTGATATTCTCTTCCCTTTGAAACAAGGACAAGGTGATTTGGGGAATTATTTTTAGGTGTATTTTTTATGGTCAAATTCAAATACATTCTTATGTACTCGCATCACTTGCTCAAGCAACGAAGGGGGCCGTGGGGTAGCCTAGTGGTTAAAGCGTTCGCTCGTCATGCTGAAGGCCTAGGGTTTGATTCCCCACATGGGTACAATGTGTGAAGCCAATTTCTGGTATCCCCCACCGTGATATTGCTGGAATATTGCTAAAAACGGCATAAAACCATACTCAGCCAGTCAGCTCAGTCAAGCAACGTAAACCTACTTTGTGCGATATATGTCATCTGTCAATTCCTGTAACATTTGCATCAATTGTAACCATAATCGTCTCAAAAACCGATACACTGCAATGTGAGAGTCTGTGATACGAATAAATACTGTAATGCTTCATCCTGTATCAGTAGTCTCATCAGTTAGAGATGGTGGCCTAGTGGTTCAAGCGTTTGCTTGTGACAACGAAGACCCGGGTTCGACTCCATACATGGGTACAATGTGTGAAGCCCATTTCTAGTGTCCTCGTCCTGATATTGCTGGAATATTACTAAAAGTGGCGTAAAACTAAACTCACTCATCAGTTAGTTATTTACACATCATTTGGAAATGTTGGATGAACCAGAAATATTCCCATAGTTGAGATCATCTCTGTTTGGTGAAGGCTTTATAGTGTTCATTCATTACAAGTAAAGTGTCTGTTTTATCCAAGACGAAATCTTATCTATTTTGTAAATATAGTCATTAAGTCAGAGAGGAAATATAACCCATCATCCAGTGATGAGAATTTTCCGCAGATCCGCGGAATTCCGGGAATTTCATAAGGCCAAGGGTCATTTTTGTGAATCGACTAAATCCGTTGACAATTGTATGAATGTGCTTCAGCAGATTTAAAGTTTTTTAATGGTTGCTGTGTCCATGATATTGTCATTTCTGAGCCAGTTTTAAAGGTCTAAAATGCCTAAATATCAGGAGCTTCAGCTAGTTTTCATAGTTTTTCTCAAACTTCATTCTCATCCCTCATTATTAGCTATTTACTGTTGGGCAGGATGATATGATCAATTCAGCCAGTGAGCAGAGGGATTCAGGATTTTGAATTTTGCTTGCAACTGCCTAAGTCAAAAGTTGAAAAAACTTGAAAAAAGCATTGATAAATATGGCATCTATAAAAGTGGAGTGTAGGAGAAGAGGGGGTGTTAGATTCACTGTAGCCAAACTGCATGCACTCCCTGTCTGCCTTGTGCTACTCACCAACTGTTAGATTCAAGTCGATGACTCGCTTCTAGATGTGGATGTGCATACCAGGACAAGCACGTCCATGTCTTCTTAAGAAGCATCCAACTTTGTTAAGTTGTTGTACGTGTATTTGAAATACTGAGTTAGATTTGGTGTGATTAACTGTATGGTCAGCCATACTATGCAAAATTTGTCATACATAGTGCCTTATACGAGTTAGATGCTGTTATGTTTAATGTGTTGGTGTGTGACAGGAGTCGTGCTGCTGTGTATGGAAGATGGGGATGTGGCGTGAGTATTTCTGAGAGTGGTGTGAAACAATAATGAAAACAATTAAGGAAACATTGAGCTTTATTTGTAGCAAGAATTGACCCAAAACCTCAGGGCCTGCACTAGTCTGCTAGTCCTATATTCCCCTAGTCAGAGACAGGTGAAAAGTTTGAAGGAAATAGTGATATTATTAAAATCAGAATTTTTACTCCGATACAATACACATGTACAGGATTATCTGATGACAACCCATAGCAGGGCCACATCATACCAGAGAGGGGGGAGTCAGGGTAGCCCAGGTGGTTTAAACCCAGGTTCGATTCCCAACATGGGTGAAGCCAATTTCTGATTGCTGAAATATTGCTAAAAGTGGCATAAAACTGAAGTCCCTCCCTCCTTCACTCACTCACTCACTCACTCATTCATACCAGAGTAATGGATCGGATGTTAATAAGACTGAAATTGTACAAGTGACTGACAAGTCTTACTGGAACTTCTTTTTTGAAAAGATTTGAGTTCTGCTTATGGTGCCTCTTGTTGCTACTGCTAGTATTTATATATACTAGTACTTGCCATCAAAAGTTTAGACTCACTAGTGTAATATAGCCACTTACCTCAGGCAACTGTTCTAAACTAGATTTGGCAAAGTATTCCATACTGTTTAAAGGTGCTGTTTACACATGAACTGATGTATTGTAAAACAAATTTGTAACGTTGAAAAGATTATTGTCATGAGTTCAATAAATGATAAAAATCAGTGAACATTGAAGAATTTACAGCACTTTACACCAAAATGCAGCTGTTCGCATGCACGATATTTGCACATGCTTTTAAGCAATTTGATGCATGATCCTCGTGCAATTCATTTGCATAAGGTTTGCAGTTGGTTCCCCCAAGTTAGTGGAGAAATCAATCTTCAATGTAACCATAGTTATATACATAACATATGGTGATTGTTTTAAGTGAGTCTAAACTTTTGATGGGAAGTATATGTTAGTTTGGATAGAAAGCTAACTATCTCCGGCATTCTTACATTGAATATATTAGAGTAGGGCTTTTTAACAAATGGTATATCCAGGTTAGATGCTAAACTATATGACAGCATAGCCTCATGAGACGGTTTTTTACCACATCCAGGTAGTATATCTGTGATCATTATGTAAATAAATATGTTGGTCTGCTATGAATTTATTTGTCAAACTTGATGTATGTGACAAGCTGACACAGTTTTTGTATTTGTATTTTTCACAAGCATGTATGTCACTTTGTTTAATTGGCCCAGTCATGGTGAAATTTATACACGTCCTACTGCTGGTCATATGGGCATATTTTATTTAAATCAACTCTCATCAAAGCTATCTGATGTTAAAATACAATCAAATATATCACATACAAGCATGAGCTGGGTCAGTATGGGTGACCAAGTGATCCTAGGCACTTGGCTTGTCAGAAACATGTGTTAGTGGGTTTGAATCCCAGCCTTGTCACATTGTGATTTTAGGTTCCTCTGTACCATACCAATGGTCATGATTTTCATCAAATTGGTGGAATATGACTTAGAAGTTCCTACAGCTTGACATAAAACTGACATGCTTTATACTTGACACATAACCCACTAAACGTACAAGGGGCGGTGGGGTAGCCTAGTGGTTAAAGCGTTCGCTCGTCACGTCGAAGACCCGGGTTGATTCCCGACGGGTGCAATATGTGAATCCCACAATTTGTGATTCATTCAAGACTTTGATAAAGTTGTGTTCTCTAACTGGATGTCAGAAACAAATTTAACTGGTTTTAGGAAATATAAATATCAACATATAACTATGGTTACTTTTTAAAGATTTATTTATAGTTTTTGGAATTAAATGCAAATGCAATTTATCTCTGTTATCTGTATTCGAGGTCAGAATATGTCCCCAGCATCACCTACTTGTCATAAGACTGAAATTAGTGGGGTAGCCTTGTGGTTAAAGTGTTTCCTCGTCCCCAGCATCACCTACTTGTCATAAGACTGAAATTAGTGGGGTAGCCTTGTGGTTAAAGTGTTTCCTCGTCCCCAGCATCACCTACTTGTCATAAGTCTGAAATAAGTCTTGTGGTTAAAGCGAAATTAGCATCACCTACTTGTCATAAGTCTGAAATTAGTGGGGTAGCCTTGTGGTTAAAGCGTTTCCTCGTCCCCAGCATCACCTACTTGTCATAAGTCTGAAATTAGTGGGGTAGCCTTGTGGTTAAAGCGTTTCCTCATCTTACTCGGTTCGATTCCCCACATGGGTACAAGGTATGAAGCCCATTTCTGGTGTTCCCGGCTGTGATATTGCTGGAATATTGCTGAATGTGGTGTAAAACCCAACTCACTTACCTACTGAAATTAGCATTGGACAGTCTCTGGTGTGACCTTGACCTTTCGCCACATCCAACAGTGCTCATGACATCAACCATTGGTTTGCGTAATCAAGGCTGCTGTAATGCTGTGTAAATATTGGTGAAATATTGCTGACTACAGCATAATAGAACATCAGCTCAATAACTTTTACCTGTACTATAAACAATATACTAAAATATTTAGCTTTAGTCAGGATCTGTGTTTGATTTATTATATATCGGTGATCAAAGGTCTCTGGTTAAGTATAGCCTAGAGAATAACCTAATAGTTCACGTGTCTCATCGCTTTATGCAGTGTATGAAATAAGGCCCGTCCAACCGCCCGAGACGGTCTAGATTTCTGACGGACGGTCTAAATTTATAGCTAGCCAGCCCGATGGTCTGGTCAAAATTTAAGATGTTCCACACATCTGAGTAAATTCACCATATTTGGTCTGGTTAAATCCATTTTGGGCTGGTAACATTTTGAAGTTACCAGCCCTGATGTCTTGCTGGATTTGGGCCTATTTCAGACACTGCTTTATGTTACTATGTAGTATCTAGTCAGCATGTTAGGTGATACTGGCAAACTGTCATAGGAGTATCCAAACTGGACAAATACTTCAAGCGAAAAGTATGAGTTGGACTCAATGCTGCCATCTCTGTAAGATGATAACTAGCTGGTTGGCAATATATTATGAAACTTTTATGAAGTACATCCAAGAAATATATGCAAACAGATGCTGTAAGATTTTCACGAAATAATGTAAAGATGACAGAATGAATTATAAGTTTATAAAGAAAAATTGTTTTGTGTAAGTTATAGGTAAACATTTCATGGTGTCAAGTATCCTATGTTGCGGGGAGTGGTGGGGTAGCCTAGTGGTTAAAGCGTTTGCTCGTCACGCCAAAGACCCGGGTTCGAATCCCCACATGGGTAAAATGTGTGAAGCCCATTTCTGGTGTGCCCTGCCGTGATGTTGCTGGAATATTGCTAAAAGCGGCGTAAAACCAAACTCAGTCAGTCAGTCAGGCTATGTTACGGTGGCTGTAATATACAGGCTTGGCATCCAGTGTATCAGATTTCATTTTCAGTCAGCCCATATTTTATTTATAGAATGATTTTGTTTAATTGAATTTCAATTATTATCTGGTAAATCTGGTTTGGATCTGTAAACTGATCTAAAAATTAGGTAATTAATGATCACACTGTGATTGCAAATGTTTCTGTATGAACTTAAGAAGTAAATAGATTTATTATGTATTGTACTTCTTTTGAATAATGGGGCATCAAATTTGTTTTTGTGGTGTATCAATCTACCATCGCCATTTATTGGCAGGGACACGCAGATGTTTATTACATTGTATGTCAGTTCTTTTCTTTGATGTAAGGCACACAGTCACTTATATGTCGCCAAAACATATTTACACTGGTGGTACTGTTTTTTATATACTCAATGGACATACATACATTTCCAGAAGCCAAAACATGCGCTCTGCTTTGGCCAGAGCAATTTTATTTCTTGTTTTACGGATCCGCCGGTCATATTTTAACAAGAATAAGAAAAAAAGAATTTTTTCCCACTCAAAAAAAAGAATCCTTATGTTTTTAATGGCCAAAAATGGAATGTCCCCAAATACACTTCATAAACTGCCCAAAGTAAAAAACTTTTAGTATTTAAAAGGAATATTACTTTGACTGGTGATTTTTCTTTTCTCCTGCCTTTAGGTTTTCTGAGGACAAAGATCCATAAAACAAGAAATATAATTGGTCTGACCTTTCTATGTTATGTTGGTATTATGAAAGAGGTAACATATATATGTGGATTCACCTTTGTTATATTCAGAAGTGGGAAGTGTTGATCAGTACAATGTATAATTTGATATCAAAACAAACCAGTTTTTGAGTAGATGCTCATTACATGATGTACACCCCTAGCCTGGTATTTTGGATGAAATATGAATGTTACACACCATTTCTCTCAGTATAAGTGTATCTTCTTTTAGTTATAGTCATTGTCATCTAGTTTAGTACAACTGGGCCCAGATCCACAAAGTAACTGTATCGTTGCAACCTGTTGTAACTGTATAGTTTACCATAGGCTACACATTTTAAGGGGCTGTGGGGTAGCCAGTGCTTAAAGCCTCTGCTTGTAATGCGAAGACCCCATTCGATTCCCCACATAGGTACAATGTGTGAAGCCCATTTCTGGTGTCCCCCGCTGTGATGTTGCTGGTATATTGCTAAAAGCAGCATAAAACTCACTCACTCATGAATGTCGTAGCGCTACGAACGCTTTGTGGACCCTGATCTGTAACTGGTTATGTTACATTGGTGTGTTAGGCAACAGGTAACTTCTTTGAGAGGCATTTAGAAGTTGGGACAGTAAGGAAGGATGACAATATATGGATGAACATCTGTGAGAGCTCTCACAGCAATAAAGAAGTTGTTCATCCATATATAGTTATCCTTCCTTAGAGTCAACTATGTTCACTGGGTGGCCGGGCTCATTGACTTTGTTGGGGCGGTGGGGTAGCCTAATGGTTAAAGCGTTGGCTCGTCACGCCGAAGACCCGGGTTCGAATCCCCACATGGGTACAATGTGTGAAGCCCATTTCTGGTGTCCCCTGCCGTGATATTGCTGGAATATTGCTAAAAGCGGCGTAAAACCAAACTCAGTCAGTCAGTTAGTCATTGACTTTGTTGATGCATGGCATTGTCGATAGATTCTCTTGTCAATAACTGGAGAGCCTGGTTCAGATCTATTTAATTATTGAGTGGGATGAACATCAAACAAGCAAAGTAAATGTCTGGTTTTGTTTTACCATGCCGATGAGCAGTGTATGTTTGTGATGTTGCAATGTACTGTGTTTTATAAGTGTAAGGTTGTATACTATGTTTGGTGAATGATGGTGTTATTGGGAGATGTGCTTTGTATATTTTGTTCTGTTGTGTACATAAAAAAAACTATTTTATCCTTTGTGATAATGTCACAAATGCGTTCTAAAACTATTTTAATAAAACATATCAACAGGATTAGTTGTTTTTTATTCTTATGTTCAAATAACATCACTTCTCTGGCTGTCTCTTGTATGTTCTTCGGTGATCTATCTTTGAGGAGAGCTGTGTCATGATTGACTCAGCTTAGAGCATATAACATCAGTTCTCAAGCTGGCTGTCTCTTGCATACACTTCCAGAATCTTTCTGTGTGGAGAGTTCTGTTATGATTAACTGCGCTTAGAGCGTATAACATCAGCTCTGTCTGTCTCTTGTATGTACTTCATCTCGTAAAAATC